CCCCAAAAGGATTGCCAATTATTAATGTAGCCCACGTTGTTTTCAGGACACCACCTAGACAACCAGCGGTTGAATGACAACATGCGGCTAAACATGTTATATATGTGATTCAGACTTTCATTAGATTCCCCAAAATTATTCCTGTAGCAATTGATAAAGCAAGACCTTAAAAAGATTTAAGAATATATATCTATAGTTATTTCTTAACCATAATATAAAATTAGAAAAGCGCTCAAAGAGCGCAGACCTCGGCCAAGGAGCAGATTTTGCCCCGCATTGTGACTTCCACCTTCAGCTAAAACTCACACATGATCTGGATTATTATAAAATTTTAATTGTTTCCTCGGCATGAAGAGCAGCTCTGGAAACAATTTCCTCAAAATCCTTCTTCTGGACTTTTTTTTAGTCCGATCCTGAAACTCTCCACAGTCACTGCTGCTACTCTCGTGTTTAGGAGGAACTGCTTGTTCTGCCAAATAATGTTAAAGAATCCTTTAATAAATTCCTGCATCCAGATCATGATGTGGATCATCACCAAGATGGATTAGTTTGCTCCTTGGACTGAGGCACATCTTTGGTAAATATTCCATTAAAGCCAGACTGTCAGAAGGTCGATTGAATGAGAAGGTAGATCATAATCTAACAAAACTGATCTACATGCAGCTGAATGAAGCTTCTGGTTTATCTGGTTTGACCAAAAGAACAATTGTTGCAACACTGCCTGGAGATGGAAGTCATTGATGATTGATTACTTTCTGATCTACACAGGCTGAAATTATTTCATGTTAAACTTTTGAATATCTCTGAGTTTTCATTCAGAGTCAGGTAATATAATTATTCCAAGAATGTCTCCTGTTGCAGTGAGGTCATGATGGAATTATCTGATTTATACAAGTTCTGAATAATATGTCTTTAATTTGTTTACTATATTCTAAAAAGTCTGGATCCTTTAGCCAAACAGTCTTTAGGCACCACCTAGAGGCAAAGATGGAAAGGTTTGGTTGCTTAAATGATGAGAAACAGGATCATGGTATACAATTAGTGCATCATTTACCAGAAGTTTGTTATAGAATTAAAGGCTGATGTCAACTCCGGGAAAAGCATTTTAGAAACTAGAGTAACATTTAATGCAGCAACTAAGGAAGAAACTCAAACCACAGCAGGAGGTGCAGAGTGTCAGGATTTGTTTGTGGGTTGGGGACCCAAAAGCAGAGGCAGGCAGAGGTAAATCATTGGTTGATTTAATGAAGAGAACTGAAAAAACAAAGTCCAAACAAATCCAAAAAGAAAACAAAGTAAAAAAAACAAACAAGAAACAAGGAGTCCAAAATTCAAAACATGAAAAACTGAGTAGAAAACAAAGCAGACAACTATGGAGACATCAGGGAGTCAAAACTCAGGGAGGAAGTCACAGAGAGATGAAGTTGGAACATGTAAGATGAGGTTAGACGAGGACCCAGCAAAGAGGAACTGAACAGAGAGCTTTTAAAGGAGACAGAGACAAAGAGGGGGCTAATGAGCAGATAGGAAACAGGTGAGCACAGAGGCAGAAACAAAACAGGAGCTAGGGAAAAAGGAGAATACGAGAGGGCAGCAGAGGGCAACAAAGGAAAAACCTGAAAGAATGGAAATAACTAGAAAATACAACAAAATAATAATTAAACCACTAAGACTAAAAAACATGGAGAAAAGTAAAACTAAACACTAATAACAGAACCAAGACTGAAAGAGCATGGAAAGAAACAGCAAAGCAGATTCAGGCATGAATGATTCAGATGCTCCTGTATCAGGCAATAACTTTAGTTTATTTGAGCTAACAGGTAAAAAACAAACCCCTGTGTGTTTAACTGAGCTACTCCTGTCCACCAAATAGCTTTGGATCTGCACTATTTACCTTAAGACTTAAAATCATCCTTTAGGAAGGACCAGTCCTCTTCCAGGGACTCAATTTATCAGAGCTACATCAGGAGGATTTAAGCACACAGAAATTCTGCAAGTTTCCTTCCTCTTACTGTCAGGTATCTAAATTAGATTTAGGAATTTGAATCTCAAGCAGAATAAATTTGGTTTGAATTAAACAGAAAATGTATAAATAAGGATGAAAGGTTTGTGTTTATTAAGATGCATTTAGAGGATGTGTTATAATATTTCTGTAGTTGATGTTCCTGCAGAGTCGCAGCTGAAATTATAGAAACAATTATTTAAATGAAGCACAGGGCAGATAGAAGGAAGTCTAAACATCAGACTTAATCCTTTTATAATGTAATTAATTTCACAGCATCCGAATAACAAAAAGAATAGAAATGGAAATTTATTTAACATCCCCAGCCCCCTAAAACATAAACAGATATCCCCCCTCCCACAGTCTTGGTTCCGCAGACTGACCTTTAGTTTATGTTTAAAAAACTCCTAAAAAGATTGTTACACATTAGTGATGAGGATCTCTGATATTTGTGATTGTCTATTAATGTTTCTAATAAATGTTTTCTTATTATTTCATAACTTGAACTGGTTCAGTTCCACCATTAGAAGACAATGAGCTCCATGATGTCAAATCAGGGTTTCTCTCTGTTCTCTGCTGTTTCCTCTCAGATGTGACTAAGATCACTGCAGAACCTGGAGAGAACGCCACTCTGCCATGTAGAACTCCCAATAACCGACCTGCTATAGTTGTAGAGTGGATCAGAAATGAAACGGGAGAAGTAAAGCATGTTGCTCTGTATCGAGGTGACAGGTTTGATCTTGATGGCCAGGATTCACTTTATCGTAACCGGGTGGATCTTCTGGACAGAGAGATGAAGAATGGAGACATTTCTTTGGTTCTGAAGAACGTGACGACTGATCATACTGGAACTTATGAGTGTCGAGTTTATCAGGAAGGAAATAAACGAAGGAAGAGAGATGAAATAAAAGGTGATCCCATCTGCATCATCAGCCTTGATGTAGCCCCTCCTCCTCCTTCAGGTGAGTCAGTTCTGCTCTGCATCAAAACCTCCAGCAGCTTCCTGGTTCTTCATGGTAGAAACATCTCAGATCAGATGTTGGTGTTTTACCTAAAGATGTTGATCAGACTGTAGAATCAGCTGCTCTGAGAGCAGAAGATGATGATCTTCAGACATGTTCTACCTGACGGCTCACACTAACACCTGCTTCTGTTCTACAGGGGATATGAGAGGACTACAAGAGGATGGAGGAAACAAGGATAGAGGAAGCGAGGATGGAGGAAACAAGGATAGAGGAAACGAGGATGGAGGAAACAAGGATGGAGGAAACGAGGATGGAGGAAGCAGTGCTGGACTGATAGCTGGAATCATTGTTGGAATCATTGTTGTTCTGGCTTTAGTTGGTGGTTTTCTGCTCTATAGAAAACACAGACAATCGGTTAGGGAACAAAACCCACCTGCTAGAGAAACAGAACGTGATCCTATGAATACTGAAAATGGTCTATAAGCTAATATTCTATGTTGGTGTCAGTCAGGTCAGCCTCCAAAGACTGCAGCTGATCTAGAGAGCTGCAGCTCATCTTCTGACACAAACCAAACAGTATAAAATTAATTCCCAATTCTGTGAAGCTGAATTGGGAATTCAGATTCCTCTGATTCAGAAGAGCAACATTTCTCCACGGAGATCCATCTGACCATGTCAGACATTCAGATTGATGAGGACCATCCAGACTGTCTGTGTCTCTGAGGGAAGCTGTGAATAGAATCAGATGAGGTTCAGAAAGACTCAGACTGACCTCAGTCCCAAACAGCAGAAACCCTCTGAGAACAGAGAAATGTGGAGCGTTTCTGTTCCAGAAACATTCAGTCTGTTCTCAGACAAACATTACAACCAGTCTGTGTTCAGCATCTAGTTAGCTTTAGGCATTATATCATTCAGCGACTGATCAATCTTATGTAGTAAGTTACATAACATTGCAATGAACCAAATGAGCAGAACATGTGATGTTCAAGTTAAAATAGCTTTGACAAAATGTAAAGTAAAGTTGGCAGCTAACATTTAATAAATCTGCTTCACTTCCACCTCCCAATATCGGTACGTTTTTATGTCGCATTTTTGTACACATCAAATATCTTGGTCATATCAAAGTGAAACCCAGCATAATATTCCTCTTTAGAATCAGGAATTCCTAGGGAAAAGCATCAACTCAAATACAAGCCAACCATACACTACAAAAACCATTAACTAATATTTGTTTTTCTGTTCTGACAATCTGAAACACATGCGACGATGGCAAAAAAACGACCGTAACACTCCACAGAAATGTCATATCCAATTTTATTTCCCAAGAAATAAACTAAAAATAAAAGTGTCGTAATAATCCACCCAAGGTTTTTTTTCGGCCATAAAAAAGTAAAAACACAATGAATAAAATGTAACAAATTGAGAGCTAGAATGCCAAAGGTCTGCAATGCTGTAATTGCTGCAAATGGAGGATTCTTTGAAGAAAGCAAAGTTTGATGTAAAAAAAAAATCTTATTTCAAATACAAATCATTATTTCTAACCTTGTCAATGACTTGACTCTATTTTCTATTCATTTCACAATGTATGGTGGTGAATAAGTGTTTCAGGAAAACACAAAATTGTTTGGGTGACCCCAAACTTTTGAACGGTAGTGTATACAAGGAACAACCGCTGTCTGAGTAAACCCTGTCTGCCCAACATCAAACAAGACTATCACTGGAACATCCCACACAGACTGGATTCTATTAAGGACACCTTTTGTTGGAAACGTGAGTCGGCAACCTCAACTTTCTGTTCCAGTTGAGCAGTGTTCAGAGCAGCATTGGACTCATGTCATTATTCAAATAAATCTGTTAAACTTTTCCCTGGTCTCTCTGTTTGGTCTTCTGCATTTTGGGTCAGACTTTTAATAAAATCACGACAAAAAGCACTGTACTTTTCAATAAAGATAACTTCAAACTAGTCTTAACTTTAAAGAAATACACTCTATACATTGCTAATGTGGTAAATGACTATTCTAGCTGCAAATGTCTGGTTTTTGGTGCAATATCTACATAGGTGTATAGAGGCCCATTTCCAGCAACTATCACAGCAGTGTTCTAATGGTACAATGTGTTTGCTCATTGACTCAGAAGGCTAATTGATGATTAGAAAACCTTTGTGCAATCATGTTTACACATCTGAAAACAGTTTAGCTCGTAACAGAAGCTACAAAACTGACCTTCCTTTGAGCAGATTGAGTTTCTGGAGCATCACATTAGAAGGGTATTCCATG